GCCCAAGCAGTGCTGGAGCTGGAAGAGCTGCACGGTTTGTGATCAGCAGGGCTTTGCCTGGGCTGTTCTGCTCTCGTGGCGTCAGACCTCTGCCCTGGAGATGAGTGCTGTCTGATGGACTCTGGAGGTATCTTTGAAGCTGGTTCTTTGGTTTTTTTCCCTTTTTCTTCCCGCCTCCCCCTGAGTCCCAGTTGCATTTTGTGTGGGCAGGTGCTGGGCTTTCCGTGCCTGGGGAGCTCACGCAGCCTGAGGCTGGCTCGGGGGTTTCTGCCGGCCAGCCTGAGCCTCCTCTGCTTGCTGTTGTGTGCAGGTCAGATCCTCCCCAGCTCGAGTGGGAGCTGTGTGGGGAATCTCTGGCTGCCTGCAGTGGGGATTATTGGCAGGACAGTGCCCAGCTCTGTCGTGGACAGGTATTCTCTCCGTGCACTCTGAAGCAGTGAGTTGTAACCTGCCCTGTCAGAGCTGCTGCTGTTTTGTGGCTGTGGGCTGGGTGAGCACAGAATCCACCTCAGTTTCCCAGTTTCTCAGTTTCCTGTGCTCTGGCAGCAGGATGAAGGCTGGGAAGCCCCAGCATTTGCTAGGAGGAAACAAGCTGAGCACATTGCTCTGCAGGCAGGGAAGGGGAGCTGGGGATTTGCCCAGCAAAGCTTGAATATTCTTCAAGAGTTTGTCCTATGCCAGGAGGATTCTGCCCTTGGCTGGCTTGACACACAACCTGTATCTGTCCCTTGTGTTTCTTCCCCTAAAGTATCACTAGAAACACTCAGAAAATAGTTGCATGTCCTGTCTGTTTGCTAGCTCTGAGCTCTCCTGACTTTTTACACTTGTAACTGTTGCAGTCTTCTTTAGAGTATGTTCACCATTAAATTCCTGATCTTGTTGCAAAAATACCGTTTTAGCTTTAATTTTCCATCTGGGGAGATGCAGGATTCAGCTGATTCTCCTGATACTGTGCACGTTTCAGGTTTCCTGTCATGAAATACTAGATGTCCTCTCTGCTTTATCTGGGTGCCATCTACTTTCCCTGCAGTTCTGGGGCTCTGATTGCCTCCTACAGCCAATTAAAATGGTCAGAACAGGGCTGAAATTTGAGTTACTGTGACCATTGCTCCTTTCAGCTGGAGTTAGTGGTGTGCCCTTTCTTTTTTGCCCTCAAGATAAAACTTAAATGTTCAGACTATTTAATTGGCGGTTGATGTTTCAAGATGTGATGCGATAAGTTTCCCAGAGCAGTTCTATCTCCACTCCAGGGTGAAACCTTTTAAAGTGCTGTTTAGGGGCATGGAAGCAGCCCAGAGGAGCAGATGGAGCCACAGCTGAAAGCTCAGTGAAGAACCCAGGTTTTTGTTTATTTTTGGTGTGTTTAACTCCCTGCTCAGGTGAGTGTGGGGGGTCAGGCACTGAGAGCCCCCTGAGATTCTGCCCTGGGAGATGCTGGGACAGCCCTGGAGCAGCCCCTTCACCTTGGCACTGTTATGCTTAGATAAGTCAAGGGATTTAATACAACAAAAACCAGCTAAGTAAAGCTTGTTATTTCCTTTGAGGTAAAAGTCTGGGCTGAGAGAGGCCCTGTTTAATTTAGTGTTTAATTTAGGGTTATTATCTGCTCTTCTCAGCTGGGCAGGACACGAGGGTTTGTTTTGCTCTCGTTCAGAACTGGACCCTGGTTTGTAACACACATGTACACAAACACATGCACTGTTTACAGACATTTGGGTGTAGTAAGAGATCCCCATCCAGGCCCTCCTGGAGCAGGGCCTGCTGCTGTCATTTGTGTGTGTGGTGTGTCCTGAGTGTCCCCTCTGTCCCCACTGCCACCTCCAGACACCTGTGCATGTACCTGACCCCTGTGGCTGACACACCCTGTCAGTGCCTGTTGACCCCAGGTGCAGAAAATCTGGTTTTTAGCCTGGGTTATGGGGAACAAACACTGGTTTTATCTGTATTTTATCTTTATTTTATCTGTGTATACTCCTGAGAGGTGATGCAAGCCTGTGCCTTGGGACAGACCGTGTGGTTTGTGTGCCTGCAGCTTGAGGGTGAATAATCCTCACTTACATGGCTATAAAATGGCATGGAAATACCCCACTGTAGGCAGAGGATTATGGAGTTGGGTGGGAGAGTGAGTCACAGGCACTAATTAAATCCCAAACCCCAAGTGTCGTGTCTCTCCAACATGTAGTACTAAAACAACAAAATGCAAACACAAAGGAGAGCATTAGTACAACCACACTGCTGTGAGTGCCTCCAGCCCTGTGGTGCTGGATCATCTGGGAAACACTGGAGAGCATCCTTCCAGGAGGAAAGATGGGTTACAGCTGCACTGGGATGTAGGGGAGGAGCTTGGGGTTGGAATCCAGAGGAGATTTTCATGGTATTTGGTATTTTCATGATCTTGGATATTACAGCCCTAATGCAAAGTCTGCCTCCTTACTGTGCCTTCTGAACTATGCCTCAAATGACTTTCAAAACAAAATGAGGCAGTTGTATTTGTCTGTAAAGATGTTAGTGCTGACACACTGTGACTTTGAGGGTGTTGCAGATGCTTCACAAAGCAGAAAAAGCAATGTGCAGTGATCCTGTTCATTCCAGCCCCTCGTTATGTATCACACTTCACAGTGCTGCCTCTGGTTTGTGGGCACATCTAGTAATAACAACGAATAATGCTGGAACAGAAAGCTTAATTTGGAGTGAAATATCCTGTCCTGGAAACAAAGAGCTCAGAAGTGGCACAAAAACGGGGAAAATGGGATTTGAAATGGTGTGTTTGCAGCAGGTATGTGCAGCAATACCCTCCTGCTGGGCAATGGAAGGGTGGAATAAAGGCAGCAGAAAGAATACATTGGTGCAGATTAATAGCCACAAAAATAGCACTGTAATCCTAATGCAAATCATGGGGAGCTATTATTGAAATAAAAAGCCCATATTAAAATACAGCAGCAAATATTTACTTGTTGGAGGGTCAGAGCAGAGCGTGGCACGAGGCAGGAGCAGTGGGACTGTTTCCCTTGGCTCTGCTCCCTGGCCCTGCTGCCTTGGTGGGGCTGTGGTGATGCTTTGGGGGCTGCTGGGGTCCCAGTGCCACTTCCAGCAGTCACAGGAGGGCTTTTGGGGTCTCTGGCAGCTCAGCTGCTCCGAGGATCCCAGGGCACCTGGGCCTCTAGAAAAGGTGCCCAAATCCATTGGTGCTTTAGGATCAAGAATCACATCACAGAATGGGTTGGGTTGAAAGGAGTGACTATTGTATGTACACAACTTGGGGGAAAACTTTTTTCTTTTCTTTTTTTTTGAATGACTGTATGTTGCTCCAGTTAGAGCAGCCAGAGGTGCAGGATGGCTTCCCAGCACAGCGGCAGAGAGAAAAGCAGAGAGAGCAGAGAGAGCAGGTGCTGCTGTCCGGTGATGGGTGCTGTGCAGTGTCTGTGTGACAGCTGCTTGGGGCTGTGGCTGGGCAAAACCACATTACTGAGTGTTTTAGTAAGGCTTTGGGAATGGTGAGCTGGAAACACCCCGTGCAGGGCAGTCACTGTGGTTTTCCTGCAGCTGGATCACAGCATCCTGACTGGGGGAAAACAAACCCTGAGTGAGCCTGCCCTTGTGCTTAGGAAGGTAAGAGCTGAGGAAGTTCTTGTGGCTGGGGAGATAAGGCAAACTATGACATAATTCTTGATGGATAAGGATCAGCGAGTATTGGAATTGTGCAAATGGAGTGGCTTTGTGCCTGGTTCAGCAGAGCACTTAAAATCAAGTGCCTGCTGGTACAGCTGGAGCTTAAAATGCCTGGCTGGCTGTCCCTGGAGGCTGAGTGTTCCTGGGGCAGGGCTGGGGAGATCTG